AAACTCGTAAATATCTGTAATCGTGCTGAAGGAAAATCCTCATTGGTAACTGACTGTCTTCACGCTCTGTGATTGGCCAGTCACCTAGCGCGCCCGCCCCTCTCTACACACAAAACTGCAGCCGGGAGCTCAGTCCGTCCGGCCCATGCATCCACGCACACACAGAGGCAGTAACGGATCTCTCTGTGCTTGCTTCACTGTTGCTCACGTTTCTTCAGTACTCCCTAGGTTTTCTTCAGCTCGCCTCTTTTTCGGTTGAACATTTAAAGTAACTTTTTTCGTAACGTACGTGATGCATTTGACAAGACAGCTGAAAACGGCTCGTGCATGTGTCGGTCACTGCCTCCGCTCCAGTCGGGTTTTTATTTTTATTTTTTTAACTCTCTCTCCCTCTCTCTCCTTCTCTCTCTCTCACTCACACACCTTAATCAACATTGTTTTGTTTAACTGTGTGTGGGAAAAATGCCAACAACGTTAGGAAAAATTCTGTTTAATCAAATTAAAATAAAATGGTTCTAGTATTTCATATTTCCTAGTTCCTACTGCATGAGTTCAGATGTATTAATTCATGCACTTAAATATTAATGTTGTGATTTTATTGAAAAACTTGTTCTGTAATAGTTCCTTTACTATTGTGATCAAAAATATTTTATCTCAATTCTGAGGCTGCTCTGTAAATAGTTTTCAAATAAACAATACACATAGCAACTTCTGATCAATCCATATCAATTTCAGATTTAAAATAATGTATTGATGTAAACCACACCCACTAATTTCCAAATAATAAATAAGAGGTGCATTCATCTGTGTATCTCCTTTGATCCACATTAGTGATGTTTTCAGCACCAGAACGATGAAGCAAAGAAACACATTCCTGAGTTTGTTAGTAATTTTATTTATTAGGTTCATCTGACCTGTTCTATTTTTCTCTGAAATGAGATCAAATCAGTGCTTCTATGGGTTGTCTCCTCTCTGCACTAGAAAAATTTACTTTACTATAATGTTCACTGTAATGCATCTTGATGTTCTTAACAAATAGATTAAATCAAAGATATTTGTCAATAATGCCAAATATGTAAATTTGTATTTCATTTTTATACTGGCTTAAAAATACTTCATTAAGTCCACTAAGCAGGGGTGTAGAACGTTTTTAATAGGGCCAGCCCATCTTGGACCAAAATAAAGGGGGGCAAAAGGAGATGTTTTCCAGATGCCAAGAAAAATTAAATGCCAAATCCTCCCTGCAAAGTGTGTCACTGAGAGTTTAAAATAAAATTATTCTTGTGCAAATATTGGTGTGTTCACCTTTAATACTAGTTATTAAAATGCAGCAGTTGCTGGATTGGTGCAGTTCAAAGTAGGGCTGCTCGATTATGGCAAAAATAATAATCACGATTATGGTGACTTCAATCACGATTATTTAGGACAATTTTTCAATTTATGTTGATTTTATTTGTTTTTATTCAGTCATAAAATTGCTCAGGGCACAATTAGGACAAAAATAAGAAACAAGATGATCACTAAAAGAACTCCTGATTCCCAGGATAAAAAGACCAATATACTTATAGCTCATAGTCTATGACCCAAGGGCTATAGACCTTGGTTTAACTCATTTAAGTCTAACCCGTACAGACCCAAATACCAATATCTTGCAAATACTGACAGCAAGAATTATACAGTGGCATTTATAACAAATAAATGCAAATAAATTGATGTTCACAAAATGTTGCATAACATTTATTGAGTCGTGTCAAGGTGCTGTAGGAGCGTGCACTAGCACCGTGTCCTCAGAGAGGTTAGTTATTAGTTATCAGTGTGAGGAACTTATTTCTACCTTATTTATAAACTATTTATTTACAGGCCCATCAGTTAATGTAATAATTGTCCCAACCACATCTCCACCCCCCAACCCGGTCTCACAGCAATCGGGCAAGCTGCACGTGTGTTTAGCACGCTGCACGCGCACATTTAGCCGTTTTTAGCTGCTCAGGAGTCCGCAGGTGCGGTGTGTGTGTCACTCACTCTGGTTAATCCAACAAGGAGCCGGCTCCTAGAGCTGTCTTTAGCGACCGACACATCACTGCATCATTCCCTTTCCTAATGTTGTGAAGAACGGTCCGGAGCGCAGGCGGAGTGTTTAGCTAACCTGCAGGAAATGTCGACGACCGTTATCCAGAAAGTAGCTAAGGGTTACCAGAGATGTTTCTGAGATGTTCGCTAGGTACTTTTAGGATTAAAAAGTCAAGAAGGGGGTCTGAGAAGCTGCTAGAAATAGCGTCAAAGTCGCTAAGTTGGCAACACTGTGGAGGAGCGCTTCATTTGCAACTCAGGGCAGCGCAAGCGGGAGGAGCTAATAATTGGCTTGTTTTGTTTTTTATAATCGTTCAAAACTCAGATCGTAATCGTGATTAAAATTCGATTAATTGAGCAGCCCTAGTTCAAAGTGGAGTGTATCAAATAAAACAATATTAACATAAAGGTGAGAGGTGTCATAATCCCCCACCCCACACACACATACCACCACCACAGCTGGAAAAATTCCTAGGGGAAACACTGTTATATACTTAGTTTTTGCACAGGCATTTGTTTACTGTGAAGTAAAGTTGAAGTGCTGAAGTTTTGAAAACAAAATTTGAATAAAACTTGAAAAATAATTGGCAATTGTGTGCTCATTTTAAGAGGTCTTTCATATTTTATAACATGCTATTTGATATAATGGTTTACAAACAATTTAAATTACAGAAGTGAATATAATTTTGCACAGTATTTTAATTTTTCCAGCTTCACATAATTGTGTGTTATTAGTAGCATTTCTGTTGCTGGTAATCTAGTAATGGTTAAATAAATAAATAAATAAAATCCTTTAAAATGACACTAGAAGAGGCACAAGCCTGATGGAGGACTTACATTTACTAACTTGGGTCAGACCCAACCACAGAAGAGCTGAAGCTGGGTGGTAAACACACACAGGTAGTTCTAGTAACACCCGAGCTCCATGACGTTTGAGACTGATGCATCAGTGTTACAGTGGGACTAAAGACACGATCAGAAACATGTTACAGCTGGATGATCTAGGAAGGTAGAAGATCAGGACGTCTGAGCGGTGAACAGGTGAGCGGACCTTCAGGACGTCCCGCTGTCACGCTAAGAAGGTCATGGCTGCAGATCCACACCTGCAGCCGTAGACTATTCATCACGTCTTCCTCGTTCTTCACGGGCCGTGACGCACTTGGATGAAAACATCTGCCTCTTTAGCTCCTGATCAGCTGATGACAGCTTCAACACACCGCGCAGCTTAACGCACGCTTTTTCTTATCAGTAACAGAAACAACGTTTTGATAAAAGAAGACGTAATTAATTAGTTTGCTTGTTACTGAAAGAAATATTTTTTTTTAGGAACGCGGTTATTTTAAATGGCGTTATTCCCATCACTACTCTGTTGTGTCTACAGCAGGCAGTGACTGAGACAAAGAGGGTCTCCGCCCACCCGGCCAATCATTGTGTTTGTAAGTGCGTTACGACACCTCTCTCTCTCTGGCTGCAGCTGAAGTGTGGCGGTCAGAAAGCCTCACACTGTTGCTCAACGTTCGACAAGCACATAGTAACGCACAACCTTCCGTCCCCAGTAACGGCGTTGCAACAGTGGGAAAAGTAATTAATTCGATTATTCTGTTTCCTAAAAAAAGAACGCCGTTATTTTAAACGGCGTTATTCCCATCACTGATAACAAAATACTCACTTTGCTTATTGGAATGAAACAGATCACAGATATGACTCTGTGTTGACAACATCCATTAATAGTTGCAAAGTATACCTGCTAATCTTCCATCTTAATCACATCATCTTTAAGGCGTAGTGCCTCATTAGCCTCTCAGCATTAAGCTCACACCTTTGAATATGTGTCAGAAATTTTCCTCCATCACTCCATCAGGGATCCTGAGTGCTGCAGCATTTTCAGTGTTGATGCTCATATTTTCGGCTCCTTGTTCTTTGCTTTGTAGTGAAGGGACCGCTGCAGTATTTGGCACATTGCCTTTTCAAAATTCCATATTTAGAAATGTATTTGAACTTTTGGAAGAAGAAAAAATTTGAACTGTGGCAGGAGTAGCTGAGTAGCAGATAATACATTAAAATTAATTGCTACCTGTTTTGATGAAAACTAATTAGATGGACTTTATGCAAACTGATCATTTCATATTGTCAGTCATATACAAAGACTTAAAATATGTTTTACTTGTGTTTCTATTAGGTTATATGTCATGGAACCTCAGTTTGACACTTCCTGACTTTTCAGCTTGCTGACTCCCATTACTAGATCACAGTAACTTTGGTGTTCTCCATGTCATTTTTACGCTATCGCTGCAGGACCTGCTGAGGATAACTATCAACAATGTACATGGGATAATCTAGGCTACATCTAAGGCCACAATCAAAGACAAATGTTTTAAAATTGTATTTGTCCGCCTATATTCATAAATATAAGGGTAAGTTAACAAACTTCTGCCTTGGGTTGCTAAATGATGCATGCTAGCTCTTTACTGGCACAGTGAGGAAACAATGCTAACAAAGTTAGCAGAGAGTTGTTATTTTATAAACAAAAAAGACTCGTATTAACCTGTCTCTGAAATCATTGTTGGCATTGCTTCAGCACTGTACAAACTTTGGCTAGTAAAGATCTAGCATGCGTCATCATTTAGCAAGCCAAAGCAGAAGCTTTTGAACTCGCCTTCATAATGAATGTAGGTAGACAGATACTATGTAAAACCTTTGTCTTTATGTGAATGTTGCATCTTAAATATGGTCTGGAAAATCCTGTTGACGGTTATCCTTGGCCAGTCCTGGAATGATTGCTTAAAACCCGCTATAAAGAAAACAAATGGTACTACAACTCAGAAGCGATTCAGCTGGATAAAAAGTCAGAAAGCGTCAAACCAGGGGTCCGTGGCATAAACCCTATTATCAATATGTGTGTGTTAACTTTTTTCTTTAACTCTTTGTAGATTTGGGCTCTCTGCCATGGGATGATTTGGAGAACGACCTTCCAGATGAGTTGATTCCTAATGGAGGTGATATGAGCCTAATGGGCGGGATTCCTTCGAATGGCGGTGGAACACCTGGAGCTGGTGGTCCAGGCAGCACCCCAACATCTCTTAGTGATGGAGGCGCCTCTGGTGTCCCAGATGCAGCTGCCAAGCATAAACAGCTCTCAGAGCTTCTTCGAGCTCGTAGCACACCCAGTATCACAGGTACTGGGCTCAACTCGGCAAGCCCTCAACCTGGCAGCATGGGTCAGCTGGGAACTCCACTGGGCAAGAGCCCCCTCGGTCAGGCCTCTCCAAACAGCCACTCTTCCCCCCAGTCCCAAAAGCCGGGAACACCAACTGGTGTATCAGTGCAGAACAGTAACAGTAATACTACAGCTTTGGGTTTTAACCCTATGATGAACAACAGCCAGGGCCATACTGGACTGCTAGCACAGGGGGGACAGCCTCAGCCTGGGCAGGTAATGAACGGTGGTCTTGTACCTGGAGGTGGGAGAGGACGTGGTGCTGGAGTGGCAGGTATGCAGTATCAAGGACCGAATCTACAGGGAAACACACCAGGACCAGGAGGATCTGGGAATGTGTTGGTAGATGCCCCAGGTGGGCAGCAGATGGGATCTCATACCACCCTTGGTGCTGCCCAGCAAGCAGGCAATATGAGCAAGGTGAGTCATGTCTTTCACTTATAGTGTTGGAGCTGTTCAGACCTACATGAAACATTTCTGGCACTTAAGATAGAGCGGTTAGTCAGTCACATGTTTGTAATGAGTTGTGGGTGGGAACAGTTTTAACATTGGATACAAATGAACAGGATTCATTAAAAACCTGTTGACTCCTGGCAAAAACCAACTTAATCAGCTTGTTGATGAGGTATTTTTTATCTTTGCACAGCAGGTCGTTTTTCCAATGATGCCTAATGAATTAATATGAAATGTTTTTAACTGGTTTCAATGGTTTACTTTTAAACTTGTTTGTTTTTTACTATTCTCCTGCTTTGTTGTTCCACTGCATATTTTTTGGATTCATTGCAAATTTCAACTTTGCCTCTCACATAGTGTTAACACCTGCTCTAGACTGAAATGATGGAGTGAATAAAAATTAGAAGATGAGAATCAATACAGAGTAGTTACTACTTCCATTTCATAACCTTGACTTTATTGACGTTATTCTTTTAGAACCTTGTATTGTTTCTGGGGCTTAATACACTTTTTATTTTATTATTATTTATTTATTTATTTATTTTTTCAAAATCAACTGTATAATTGATGCAGGGGTGTATGCTGCTTTGCTGCTATTATAGAATGGAGCATTTGGTATAGACTCCATAACCTTTATCTAGGAAATTGTCAGTAAAAAGCACAGTGTTCTTTTTTGAATGGGTGTTTTATGCTCAGCTGGTGTTCTGTGATTGTCACCAACATTAATGTTAGGAAAAGCACCAGTCCTGTGTACAGCTGCCGATATTGTGCTTAAACAGCAGGTTGTGAATCTTTGTGCCCGTGTGTGGCCATAAAACGCCGTCACTCCTCCCCCTCACATGCTGCTTTCGTTAGAATTGAACAAGGGAATAATGAGGTTATAATTGGCCTCCGTTCTCTGGTTTATTAGTAGCTACTTACCACAGTAATACTGTGGGACAGACGGGAATTGTAAATCACTTAATGGGTTAAAATCACAAATGACTTTCGTGAAAAGAGGGCAGCCAGTTCAGCCTGAATAGTCAGCCTGGCAGCGGAGTAGTGAGGTGATGGTTGCCATCAGTCCTGTCTGCCGATATGTGGAGTGTGTCTAAGGGGAGGTTCGGGTAGAATGGGAAGTGTAATGGGTGTGTGTGTGTGTGTGTGTGTGTGTGTGTGTGTGTGTGTGTGTGTGTGTGTGTGTGTGTGTGTGTGTGTGTGTGTGTGTGAGTGCGTGCGTGCGTGCGTGCGTGCATGTGAGATCTGATTGTTTAATCCAATTTTGGACCGAAATTACAATTTCAAACAGCACGATCACGTGACCATCAATGCTGCGGTTTTGACTGGATCTAGGATCAGTTGTGTAACTTTTTTTTTTTTTTTTACATCCGGGGTTTTCCCCCTGTGTTATGGAGGCGGCAAAAACCAGTGCGGGGGAGGGGGGTGGGGTTTACCGTCCAGAGCCGAGCCCAACTCCACAGCTGACAGAGCTGCATGTTCAGGTTATTTTCCGTTTTATGTTCCAGGGGTGGACCTTTAAAGCGCCCGAGCGCCAATGGAGCTAAATTTTCTCGTCGGGCGGTAAATACTTGACGACTCACCGCCCGGGTGGCGCCCAAGCTTTATTTGTCATTTACCCACCGGCTTTCACCTACATCATGGCCCCGCCCTATAGGAAGCCGCCGTTTTCGTTTCGCGCGCGTGAACCTGCGCGCCTCTAGCCACGTACTGCACTTGTACGATTCGTGCACGTCCTGCACGATTCTAGTTATTGTCACGAGAACTATAAGTTCACTATTAAAGACGAAGTGGAACCACGCTAGAAACACACAAGCACGCAGGAAGATCGCTCCACCACAGGGATGGGATTTCTTGATGAAATCTCTGGCAAAAACGCTTTAAAACTGGTGAGGAGAAGCGAGACAGTTCGAAACGGTATGAAGCAGAGAAGCGTGTGCGTAGGTGGAATGATTCTTGGAGGTTTAAAGAAGACGGTAGGCGCAGAGAGTGGCCGTATTTGAGTTGAGTAGCGGCTCGCCTGGAAAACAAACGAGAGCAGACGGAAGCAGCAGGGGGAGTGGCTGAAAGCCGGCGTTTAACGCCGGGGACACACCGGCCGCGGAAGCGCCCGAAGCGAATCGCTCACGAAGTCCGGCCGCTGCTCGCCGCTCCTCAGTTCAGATCAGACGCGCCCCATTCGAGGCGCGCCTCGGCTCAGCTGTAGTTTTTCTTTTAATTACTTGGTGTCCTCCATTTCCTCAGCTCTTTTCCTCTACGTGTGTGTGTGCCTCTGTGTGTGTGTGTGTGTGTGTGTGTGTGTGTGTGTGTGTGTGTGTGTGTGTGTGTGTGTGTGTGTGTGTGTGTGTGTGTGTGTGTGAGAGAGTGAGAGAGTGAGAGAGTGAGAGAGTGAGAGTGAGAGAGAGAGAGAGTGTGTGGTGTGAACCAGCTGTTTCTGCCAGTGGAATCTCTTGGACTTCCCTGCATGTGTAGCTCGGGGGTGACGATGGATGAAGATATCGCGTTAGCATTCACACTTGTTCAATTTTCAATTTTAATTCTGGTGCCTGTTAGCAGCTGAAACACATCCTCACGTGCTTGTGGATATCATATATTCTATATGAAGACATGACTGTAATAATAAGTAAAGGTTATCAGCTGTAGCTTCAGTGTGCTCATAGGAAACGTGACAAAAGAACACAACACATTTCTCTTTATGGCCTATATTGTTGTTATCATCAACGTAACATGATTTACAGAATACATGTGACCAACTAACATTTCATGTTCTACCACCGGATGTTTGGATCAAAATATGAACCAATCAGATCTTAGATAGGTGAGAGCCAGGCGTTTCCCGTCATCCCCTAGGTTTTGCAGCCGGTAGAGAGCAACTGCAGCGCCTTGCTCCAAAATCTGCGGCCGCCTTGATCTCACGAGGTTATCGATGCCTACGTATGCATGACGTCAGAGCAAGTCGGGTCAATTCGGACACAAATCTAACAGGCATGCACTGCTTGCCGATCACCGCTGGTCTAGTCTGCACAGAACTGGCTCATCTTGAATACAGTCAATGGCTCGAATACAGCAAAGCGGAGTTGGTGATGTACTGCGTGGTATGCCGGAAGTATGCAACGACAAAATCGTGTTTTGTTGAGGGAACAAACAAATTCAAACTTGAATATGTTATTATATTTGTGAATGTGTACAAAATAAAGGTTTATTACATTTATAACGGTTCAGTTGTTATTTTGACTCGTTTTGGCGGCTGACCAGTGGGGCCGGTAGATTCTTGGCAGGGCCGGTAAATATTCAGAGTTACCGGCCCGGCTGGCCGGTTGGTTTTGAAGTTAATGTCCACCCCTGTGTTCCCACACACAGCGCTGCTAGAGCCGATAATAATGGCACCAGGTGAGCCCGGGACAGAGAAAGAGAACATAGTCAAGTAAGGGAGAGAGAGACTCATCCCACATCGGAGCAGGTTCAGGCTGATTTCTAAAGCTTGGTTTACGCTTCATCAGCGCAAGTGCAGAGTCGCGCACTTTAGTTGACTTGAAAGCTCAACTTCTCTTTTAAAAATTGTTTGAATGTTTCTGATGGCACACATTAGTTCAAACAAACTAAGGTGTCAGAATGTGTGCGTCTCTCTCACGGAGCTGACGTTTGAGTGAGGAAGAATTATCAGACGGCTTCGAAAAACATGCAGCCAGCCTGCCATGGTAATGCAAGGAAAACTGCATTTTTTGTTAATACATTTTAAAACTATTTCTACCTACAGATTTCCTCCATGCATTTTTGGAGTAGAACATGTTTAAAGCTGGGAGCTTTATAAATGGGAGAAAATATCAATAGCTTTAACAAGGGCTGAAACGATTCCTCGAGTACCTCGAATAATTTTAGTACAAAAAAACCTCGAGTCAAATTCTCTGCCTCAAGGCTTCGTTTAATTCATGTTTAATTAATTCATGGCTTAGCAATCGCCCGGGGTCATGTTTCACCCGGACCGAAATAAGTGACGCACATACATACTACACTGAATGCACACGCGAGTAGCGAATGTAACTTAACTTTCTCTTAATGGCGGACAACGTGGACCCTGGTGGAGTGCGAAAAAGACACAAAATGTCAAAGGTGTGGGACCATTTTTCACGTCGTAAGGCAGAAAACATAGTCCAGTTTAAATACTGTAAAATGGATTTAGCCTACCACAACACCACATCCTCCATGCTGCAGCACCTGACCAGGAAACATCCACATGTAAATGTCACTTCTGCAAGCGGACTCGGAGCCTCTACAAGATAATGCATTTTAGCCTGTATTTCTATATATTCTGCAGACACTGTGCGACTTTTTCGTTTGTAGCACTCAAGTTTCAGCTCACACCGTGCATCTGATAGCAACACGTCGGTCTTAAAATGTGCTAAAAATAGCCGTTTTTACAACACGTCGGACTTTTTACTGTGTTGTTACTGATGTCCGTTGTCCCTCGGGATTGCTGCAGAAGGACACGGGTATTTATGAGAGTGGCGGAGGAAAACGAAAGAAAGTAAATAAATGTTGTGTGATCAGCGTAATTTGACATAACCACGGCAAACATGCTTTCTCGACAATCCTTGTTAGTGTGAGAAAAAAAGTGTAGAAATTAAAACGGACGTGTGTTAATAGGGAAATAGCTGGCGAGCCATGTTTGCGCATGCGCCGTGAGCGGTTCTGGTGCTGTTTGGGCCGCAGCCGCTCGCATTTGTTTACTGTGAAGTTGAAGTGCTGAAGTTTTGAAAACTAATTTTGAATAAAACTTGAAGAATAACTGGCAATTGCTTTCTCATTTCAAGAGGTCTTTCATATTTTATAACATGCTATTTGATATAATGGTTTACAAACGCAAAAGGGTAATTTATTAGAGTACTAGATTAATCGATAAAATATTCGATAGAGTACTCGATTACACAAATATTCGATAGCTGCAGCCCTAGCTTTAACTGTTTTTATTG